AATTCTAGATTAGTGAAATTCAATTCAATTACTAGAATTGAATTCTAGATTAGTGAAATTCAATTCAATTACTAGAATTGAATTCTAGATTAGTGAAATTCAATTCAATTATTAGAATTGAATTCTATATTAGCAAAATTCAATTCAATTATTAGAATTGAATTCTATATTAGTGAAATTCAATTCAATTACTAGAATTGAATTCTAGATTAGTGAAATTCAATTCAATTATTAGAATTGAATTCTAGATTAGCGAAATTCAATTCAATTATTAGAATTGAATTCTAGATTAGTGAAATTCAATTCAATTACTAGAATAGAATTCTAGATTATTATAATTCAATTAAATTATTAGAACTCAACTCTATTTCAAATTAAATTTCTGTAACGATCTTCTCAACGAGCACATTGATTTTTAATGAGTCAGCAGGTGTAGAAAGAAACGAAACGAAAGGCCTTAAAACTTTCTTTCCATTAAAAGAAAGATTTTCATTCCACTTTCAGAAATATTCAGCAATTCTTGAAAATGTAATTAGTGATGTGTGGCGGGTTGCACAATGCCGGTACTTAAGTTTGAAGAACAGTTTACATAGTAAACATCAAATAAACATTGTACCCACTTAAGTTTCTGTTTACTTTGAAGACATGTCCGAGTATTTGCTGTTTCATTTCATTTTCTCATAAATAATAGTAGTCGTTCCTATATGTTATTTAACGAAATATGCTTGATTTTAACCGATGACGTGAAAAATAATTTTTATACATAATTTTAGACGTTAACCAAAATCGACGGGGAACTTGCGAATTATTAAAAACAATCATTCTTCCATTTTTAAAAAATTGGGATTTCACTTTAGAGAAAAACTTTCTATATGCTTTTTATACAGTACCATTAGATCCATAAAGAGAAAAAGTTTCAATCCAAAATGTTTATTATTTAGCTAGCTACGAATTATTGAAGATTGGTCAAGTATGTACGTGTCTGGGTATAGTATTATATTTTTTATAAATTCTTCACCCGACGACAGGCAGTTTCCCGTTTTGATAATTGAAATCCGTTTACCCAATCACGAGTTATGAATATTTAAATTTTAATCGAGAATTCTAGCTGACATTTCTGGAGATCTGGCAATACAGTACAAGATTCGCATCTAGATTGCACGGTAACTCGATTTTGGCAACAGATAGATCAAAATTGATTAGATGAAAGTTGAACAGTATAAAAACGTCCACAAAATTGCAAACACAATTTTTATGCAGCGGATGGTGCAGAGATTTGTGTCGGGGAAAATAGTATTCGAAATAAATTATTGTTTACTTTCTTACTACTGTATTATAGAATCTTAAAAACCATTAAATTTAGTATTTATAATATTTCAATATCTCTTATGGTTTCAGAGATATTAACAAAAATATAAATAACCAGAACTATTTCGAAAGGGTGTTTCCAATCTGAAAAATATTTTTTAGCGAAAATAGGAAAGGACACTGCGACTAGATTTCCATAAACTTTATTCCCGAAGAAATTCAAATTTTTCGGCGTGTATCAATTGCCGAACTTTCCTTGTTCGATCGATCGGTTAAGTGTTAAGGAGAACGAGATCGATTCGTATCGATGTCTCTAATCTTGTATGTAAAAGTCGCGCGATGCAAAAGGAAACGGAGGCGATAGGTAGACAAACTGTAGAAGGAAAATGCAGATGGCGAAGGATACGGAGGAGGAAAAGGTGGTAAAGGAGGACGAAAAATGGCGTGTCAAGAGAGAGAGACAGGAGGGAAGTGAGCGGATAACCTTTTTGTCCTTTTTTGCACACGTAGTTACGCGTAACTCGTTTACGTTCGATATAAGAACGTATGGGAAATCCTTGTTGTCGCTGCATAATCTCAGGGACAAGTTACATCCTACCGAACGGTTTCTTTTTATTTTTTTTAAATCTGCCGCAGAGAATGATACGACTCGTTGATCGCATGATCGCGTCGATCGAAGTCTGGATTTCCTCGAAGGAGCAAAGTCGAATAATTGCGTTAGAAACAATAACGTCGAAGGATAAATCATCCTGAGTAAATGTTTTTACTTGGATGTGATGACAACACACAAGATGAAATTTAATATTTGCTGAAAAAACATACACTTAGATACCTTTTATATAAATTTATGCATAGCATCAATATAAAAATGTAAACAAAACCAATGAATAATTGTTTTAACGTTGATTTAACATTGTTGCATTATACTATTCTCTATTCCCGAGAATGCAATAATGAGATATTTGAAAAAGAAGCTAGATAAAAATATATTGTGTTGTGTTATTGTTGAGATTTTTTTAGATACATCGTGAAATTTTCTAATTTATAAAAATGCTAGGAAAAAATGTGTGCTGCTCCGTAATGTAGTTTAATTCCATCAACAAGTGTTCAAACGATTGAAAACCAAAACCATTTATTTATTTATTTATTTATTTATATACACGGGGCATAACACATTAATAAAACAAAGGTCGTAAAATGACAGTCACTATATACGTTTGAAAAAGAAGCTAGATAAAAATATATTGTGTTGTGTTATTGTTCAGCGTTTTTAGGAAACATCGTAAAATTTGGAAAAAATGTGTGCTGCTTCGCAATGTATTTTAATTCCATCAAAAAATTTTCAAACGATTAGAAGACTAAACCGTTTATTTATTTATTTCTATATACGGGGAATGATCCATTAATACAATAAAAGTCGTAAAATGACACTTACTATGTACGTTTGACAAAGAAGCTAGATAAAAATATATTGTGTTGTGTTATTGTTCAGCTTTTTTCAAAAACATCGTAATATTTTCAAATTTATAAAATTTGTGGAAAAAATGTTAACTAGACATATTTCTTGCTGCTAACACAATCTCACCAAGAATAGATTGAAAAACGGTAATGTACGAGTCAAAATCAGACAAGTCTATATCGTTGATATAGAAATTTGCGACGTTACATATTCTGCTGATAAAATCTCCATGCTTTAGAATAGAATTTGTATAACGTCAAGGTTTGAACGATGGAAAATTTCTGATGTGTCTAATAGGTGTGTTCGAACATATGTTGTTTGCTATTAGCAGGTAAGGGTTGGAAATATGTTCGTTAAGGAATTTGTTTATGTGTGACTAATTTAAGGAGGGTACAACGCTGCAACAGCCTCAAAAAGAGGTACATTCAGAAATTCTTTATAAAGAAACTATACGATGAATCATGTTGTGACTTTTATTATGTTTTATTAAACATTTAAGCAAACACACATCGATGTCATAACGTCATTAACATGGCGTTGGCCGGTTCGACAGCGAACGTAAATGAGCGCTGAGAAAAAGTCACTTCAC